CCTAAAAAAATTTGAATTTTTATTTTGGAGTAATATTAATTCCTAAACTTGTAGAGGTGCCTATTAATTCCCAAACTTGAAAAATTGAACACGTTAAATCCTGAACTTGTTAAACGGTTCCATATTTGTCCATAGCGTTATTTGGTCAAAAAAATGAGTTGACCGATCCGACGTGGCGTGTGACGTGACGCGCCACGTCGGATCGGTCAACTCGTTTTTTTGACCAAATAACGCTATGGACAAATATGGAACCGTTTAACAAGTTCAGGATTTAACGTGTTCAATTTTGCAAGTTTGGGAATTAATAGGCACCTCTACAAGTTTAGGAATTAATATTATTCCAAAATACAAGTTCATGAATTTTTAGGGTTTTTTCCCAAAATAAAATAAAATAAGTGATAGTTGAACATATATTAAAATATTGTACAACTCTTTTTTTTTAATGGGCTGGTGAAGCCCAAAGCTAAATATTTAAAATGTTTGTGTGGGGTTTGGAAAACTGAATTATCAGAGCAAAACACCTTAAAACCAAATATGAGAAAAAATAAAAAGAAAACACAATATCCCATTTAATATCATGTTTATTTTTTTTCCATTGATTCAAGACCATGGCATGTCTCCACAACATTTTTTCCCCTAAATAATATCAATATGAAATCCCATGAAAAGTCTGAAATTAAGATTGTAGTCGGACCTTCTTTTTTTTTTTTTTTAAAGATTGAAAAAGAACAAGAAGCGCTCTCTATGGAAAATTTTCTAACTCAATATTGAAAAATGATTATGGATTCGATTTTACTTGAAGTCTCGGTTTTTCTCTAAACCGGAAAGGTAAATTTCGACTAGTTTTGTGGTTTTACCGTCTACTGTACAAAGGCCGGAGGATTTACTATTCAAAATGTTGTCCCATCCGTGGGGTCCGACCAAAAGGACTTTGAGACATTCTCACCGTTAGAAAAAAAACTCTGTCCACCACGAACCGACAAACCTTAGTTTATTAAAATGAAAAGTCTACTTTATCTTTATGTCAGAGTCTAAGTTTTAAGTTTGGGTTTTACCACACAAAAAAAAAAGGTTTTAAGATAGGGTTTAGTTGAAGGGTAGTTTTGTAATTAAATAATTAAAAAAATATCAATCTTGAAAATTTATTTTTTTTTCAGAAACTATTTTGACCATTCGTATAATTATATTTGGACTATTTAACTGATTATAAAAGAAAGAGAAAATCTTTAAAAAAATCTTGTACTATTTAGATATCGACAAAAAATCATGTGTTTTTTATTATCAAAAAAACCATATACTTATACTTATTCACCGAAAAAACCATATACTCTTGAAATATTAGGCAAAAAATACTGTATTTTTTTTATTACCTAAAAAATTCTATACTTATAATTTATTCGTTGAAATATACCTATACTTTATAAATTCTAACAAATAAAACTCTAAACGCAAACGTCCAAAAAATACGGTAAAAAATCTATTCGAACCTAATCCAATCGATATATATCCGAACTAAATCGAACCGATTAAAATTTCAAATCCGAAATAACTGTATTTATTTAAATACCATATTTTTTTAAATAACCGAATTCAAAATAGCCAAATCTAAAATATATCAGATTGGATTTATATTGATAAGATTCGGTTCGGTTATTTTCGGTTCGATTATTTCGAATTTGAAATATTCATATCCAATGTGATATATTATTTTAATCAGTTCGGGTATATATCGGTTGTGTTAGATTTGGACAGATTTTTTATGAATTTTTTGGACATTTGCAGATTTATTTGTTAGAATTTATAAAGTACATGTATATATTTCGAAGAATAAATTATAACGAAGAATAAATTATAAGTATAGGGTTAGTAATAAAAAAAATATATAGTTTTTTTGTCTAATATTTCAGGAATATAAAGTTTTTCGGCAAATAAGGATAAGTAATATTTTTTTTTTGTTATAGAGTTTTTTAGTCGATTTTCCTAAAAAAAAAAAGAAATAAGTGTTCTATCGTAGCTTTTGGTGGGGAAACGTTTTAACTTTTTTTTATATATATATAAAAGGGGTGGCTAAACGTTTTTTTTTCCTCAAAGTTGACATGTGGAAATAGGGGGCGTTACACAAAATACTAATCAGTAAATACAACATACTTCAACAAAGGGCGTATAATGGGGCGATCCAACTTATTCAATCTCCCATAATTTGTATTATTCAAAACAGAGGAATATACATACTACATATATATATCACACGAACCCAACGACTTATTCAATTTCATATATGTCTTAGTTCACTTGCTAGAAAGATAAAACAAAAGAACAAAAAAAAAAAAGATAATCATAAGTTTGAAACTTGAAACATTCAAACGGTTGAATCAAAATCAAATTGTTCAACCGACGACTCCTCGAATCGGTAAAGCTCTGAGGCCGCGAGCCTTATGAACGGTCAGACCAAACACTTCTTCGACGCCGAGACAGTCATCATCTTCGACCGCCCATTCGAATGAATGTATGAGAGAACCTAGCATAAGATGCAGCATTCTCGAGGCCAGCGGCAATCCCGGGCAGATTCTCCGGCCACCGCCAAATGGGATCAGCCTGAAACTGCTTCCCCTAACGTCGATATCCGATTCCAAGAACCTCTCCGGAATAAAACTCTCTGGATTTTCCCATATCTTTGGATCTCTTCCGA